TTTGTAGGCAAAATTTCAGGTCGAAATTCCTTAATTTTATTTTTACAGTAAATACCTAGGGATAGATAGGAAATTCAGTAAAATGTTCATAACTCTTGATAGAAGAAGCAGGAACCCAAATTCTTTTAGGGTATTTACTATCTCAATATGCTCACTTAAATGAGATATAAATGAATCAAAACGGGAGGTTACACCTCGGGAGGTTCCCTCGTTAGTAGTCTGATCGAACGAGTGCTTCAAAAAAAAAAAAAAATCTTAATATTTTAATGGAATACTAATACAAGATATTTTCCGTGAGGTATCTTAGTGGATGATCTGCTTGACTCCAGGTGGATTAGTATTTTCATTTTTCAACAAAAACAACTAACTCATCTAAGGCAATGATCAATATTTGTCAATATTATGTTAAGAACTTCACATAATCTTGTTTCTTATCTAATGTGAATAAATATTCTACTATTTCTTTTTGATACATATATTATATCAGTTCAATGAATGCAATCAAGTCCAATATGTTTAAAATCTATGATAAATTACTATATCATATTAATACACATTGATTTTCAAGAATAACCACAATAATCTATCGTCTTTTTCAAGCAGAAAAAATATACACTGTCAGATCATTTTCTAAAAGATCCTGCGGTTTATGATTTCGCTAAGGATCTTTTAGTCAGAGGTATTCATTAATATCATGCTCATTTAAATTACATAACCTAGAAAGATATTAAGTATAGTACACAGTTGTTTTGTTTAATACTTTATCTATTAATGCCAAACTATTAACACTTACATATGTCAACCTGCAGATAATTCAGAGAACTTTTAGAATATTCTTCATCTTAAAGATAATCGAATCTGAATATTTCAAGAGCCTGATGCTACTCGTTACTGATTCATATTGTACATGAACGAATGCAACATATAGATGAATCCGCATTGTATTTCGCTACAGGATGTTTCGGCTAGACTATTTCAAATAGAAGTCGAAGTAAGTTTTCGAAAAAAAAATCTGTAAATAAGATATTATTTGCTTCAAAATGGACTATTGAGGAGTTCTGAGAATTATCAAAGTAATGTCAATCTTTGATAAAATTAAGATTGATAGAATTGACTGAGTACAGACCGTTTCTGTTTATTTCTATTGCAAACAAATGATATTCTTTTTACAATAATAGGAATTTTGTCACAGAAAAGTATGCAGAGCTCGCAAGTATGTCATTTTGAAGTATAGAATGCCTTAGATTAACATTCGTTTCAAAAAATAAACTTGACTTAATTTTAAGAAGATGCTTCTAAATTCCTACAATAGAATGCTCAAGAGCAGTTGATTTGCATGGCTTGATGAATGTTTTGCCCAGACGACCCTCTATTGTACATAAAAGAAGTTCAACATCAAGAATGATCGCAGAATCTTTCGTAGAGACGAATCTGATGAGATTCAATAATTATCTGTTTTGTTCCCAATTTGAAAGTTATATTGAACAAATTGAACTTCATTCTTGAAGACATAATGGTTGAATGCCGTTTTAATTTGGCATGAATATTTGGTTCTATTTGTGAATTTCGTCAACTGACGCAAATATTTATTACTATTGAAGCTGGACAGAATTTCTTGGTCTTATGAGAAAATACATAATGTTTATAAAAACTTGCAGTGTAATTACAAAGGTATTGATCTATAAAAAGTGGCAGACCTATCTTCGTCATAAATGCAAGTCTTCTAGATGTTTGCCATAGTTCTTGATGGGATTGAACAGAAGTATAATAAAATGAATGCCACTCAATGTTTCGCAGGGTGAAGTTGCACTGTACTCACACTTAATGTTTCTTTCCTTTATTAGAAAAAAGTACATAGTTATAGAATTATTTCAAAGGCATTCACACTTGTCACAAAATTCTTTTATCATCTTTATCATGGATTATTATCTAGGCAATACAGTGATCTACACATCTGGAAATTACAAATTGACATTGGTCAACAAAGATGCTAGAATGAATGCTAATACAAAACAGAGATGTATCAAAACATTTTTTGCCACTATGTAAGTAATGTCAAACTACCTGAATAACTCGTTTTGATTTCTGAGAAAAATGTTTCCTCTGTTATAGGCCAAAAATGTGTGATCGATTCAGCCCAAATTCATGCCAACGTAGTGTCCAGAGTACGATCGATCCTGGATACAGTGGAGTAGCCTATACATCGGGACGCATCATTGTTATCAGTGCCAAATGGCTACGTGACAATCCACAAGATACTGTTGTTATCACACACGAATGCATGCATGTGGTGCAAAGCTATCCACGTTATGATCCCAGTTGGTTGGTCGAAGGTATTGCAGACTACGCGCGATGGAAATATGGCATCAATAATCCTGCTGTTGGCTGGTGGTTGCCTAATTTTGACTCTAGTCAACACTATACAGACTCATACAGAGTAACTGCTCGTTTTCTGGCCTGGTGTGAAAAGTTCTATCCTAAAATTGTTAATCAACTCAATGCAGTTATGCGAAACAATTTGTATTCAGCAAATTTCTGGAAACAGTTTGCTTCTGGCAAGTCAGTGAATCAGCTGTGGACCGAATATAGTAGGAATCCAAAGCTATAAACCTCTATCAAATTTATTCTCTGCTAAAGACGATAAAAAACAATGCTATAGATTGAATCAGTTATTGATGTCTTTTTTTCTCTTTTTTCTGTTCTGCTATCTTTCCTAAATGGCACCTACGACACAAACATATACACATATCTATACATATATCAAGAGGAAAAAGGCAGATTCCACCTATCTAGGAAATGGAGTTGAGACGAAGAAACCAGAAGATACCTATGGGGTGTATATGATAAAATCCGATACAGCCAACAAAAAAAGTTGTTAGCGTGATCCTTTGCGGGATTAAAAATGTGAAACACGATGTAGCTGCTACAGCCTATTTTCTAAACTGTTGTTTTTGTGTGCATACTGATGTACATTCCTGCATAATGACTAGGACTATGACAGTTCGGAAAAGTTCCGAACTGGTGAACTGTTCGAACAGTTCCTTCGAACTGAACTGAACTGTTCGAACCGTTCCTTCGAACTGAACTGAACTGTTCGAACAGTTCCTTCGAACTGAAGTGAACTGTTCAAACAGTTCACCTCAGCTCCGAGAACTGAGACAGTGTCTCATATATTTGGGGACCCTAAGTACCTCAAGTCCTATATATTAGGGGTACCCTTAGTACCTCAAGTCCTATATATTAGGGGTACCCTAAGTACCTCAAGTCCTATATATTAGGGGTACCCTTAGTTCCTCAAGTTCTATTTATAAGGGGTACCTTGAGTACCACAAGTCCTATATATTAGGGGTACCCTAAGTACCTCAAGTCTTATTTCTAAGGGGTACCTTGAGTACCTCAAGTCCTATATATTAGGGGTACCCTTAGTTCCTCAAGTCCTATTTATAAGGGCTATCTGAAGTACCTCAAGTCCTATATATTAGGGGTACCCTTAGTACCTCAAGTCCTATATATTAGGGGCACCCTAAGTACCTTAAGTCATATATATTAGGGGTACTTTGAGTACCTCAAGTCCTATATATTAGGGGCACCCTAAGTACCTTAAGTCATATATATTAGGGGTACCTTGAGTACCTCAAGTCCTGCATATTAGGGGTACCCTAGGGGGTGGGTGTGGGTGTGGGTGTGGGTGTGGGTGTGGG